CTCTCTCTCTCTCTGTCTCTGTCACTCTCTCTTTCTACTTCTCATCTACAGCACCTTTGGCGAGTATGCGATAATACCATTTATGGTGTCGAGCTTCCCATATCTGGCTGGCAGCATTATCCAGGGCGAATTCATCTATCATGTGTCTGTCATTTCGAATCGCTTCGAGCAAATAAATAAGCTCTTCGAGAAGATAAACCAGGAGGCGCGCCACCGCCACGCCCCGCTCACAGTCTTCGACATCGAGAGCGAGGGCAAGAAGCAGGAGCGCAAGCCAACGCCCGCCGAGAAAGCAGCCGCCACCAAAGCCATCTACAGCACCGATCCCAAGTTGGCGGATGGGCTGAAGGCCCAAAAGGCGCTGCCTGCCAACCAGCAGAACGAGCTGAACTCCAGCGATGAGGAGGACGAGGATATCTTCGACTACAACGAGGGCATGATGGAAGAGAATACCGGGTGAGCTTAAGGAGATGATATCATTAAAGAGTGCTGGAAATAGAATGCATATATTTTATTGGATATTTACAATTTCCTTTTAATATTTACATATTTTAAAAATAATAATAAAACTTGTTTATTGCTTACTCAACTTTGGTAGCACCACATCAGAGGCCAATTTGCCGGATCTGTTCAAGCTGCACGACAAAATACTCGCGCTGAGCGTTATGACTAACGGGGAGTTCGGACCACAGTGCGTACCCTATATGGCGGCCTGCTTTGTGGTCAGCATCTTCGGCATATTCCTCGAGACGAAGGTCAACTTCATAGTCAGCGGCAAGAGCCGCCTGCTGGACTACGTGACCTATCTGTATGTCATCTGGAGCTTCACCACCATGGTGGTGGCCTACATAGTGCTGCGGCTCTGCTGCAACGCCAACAACCATTCCAAGCAATCGGCGATGATCGTGCACGAGATCATGCAGAAGAAGCCGGCCTTTATGCTGAGCAACGATCTCTTCTACAACAAGATGAAGTCCTTCACTCTGCAGTTCCTGCACTGGGAGGGCTACTTCCAGTTCAATGGCATCGGGCTCTTCGCACTGGACTACACATTCATATTCTCGGTGAGGCACGGCAAATGTCTATTGACAGCTTCAAATTCATTTCAATACTGCTTCACAAAAGTGAAGTGGGCATATTAGTTTTTGAATAATTATTGTCTAGAAGCATTTGACTTTGAATATCTATAAACTATATCAAATCTATATCTATAATATCTATAATCTATATAAAATCTATAAAAATATTTATAAAAGTCGGCTGATAGAGATCCGAACTAGTTCCAATTCAACTGTTATTAGTTAGTTTCTGCATCGTGCCAGCTCAGTTCATTTTTAAAGGCTTTCAGCTCATATAGAATTAAGACGAACGAGTATTAAACAGTCGCTTATCTTCGATTATTCAATTGCTTCAATTTAATTTCGTTGTTTTTTTCAGACTGTGAGTGCAGCCACGTCGTATTTGATTGTCCTGCTGCAGTTCGACATGACGGCAATATTGCGCAACGAGGGCCTCATGACCTAAGCGCTTCGCTCCAATGCAATTAAATGTGGACGAGTTTTTCATTTATGCATTTATCTACTCTATTTTTGTGTCACATTTTTAACAACTTTTATTCAGCACTGCAAAACTTTGGAATTTGCGATGAAATGCAACGAATCACTCGATGGACAGCTTTAAATGTGTGAAATATATTTTGATTATTTACTCAAAGCAAAAAGTGTTTAGCTCAAATTGAATTTGAAGGCACAAATTGATAATTTGTAAATAATCTGTGCTTGATTTACAGAGGAGTAGGGAAAACTCTATAGAAACTGAGAGTTTTCACGCGTATTGCAATCGAAAGGAATACCTAATACAAACTAGATATAGAAACTATGAGGACCTTAAAAAAAAAGTAACTGCAGCTCAGATAAGAAAATAAGAGAACTAACGCAACAGGACAGCTGGTGATGTTCGGTGCCGTTAATCGCATCAGTGCGCGTTGTTCAACACTGCCGCGGTTAACCCAAGGTAGCTGCGAATTGACGAAGGCGAATGGATGAGGCGATGGATGAGGCAGGAGGGATGGGGAGGGGGAGATGGCGCTCTAACACAATTTTATCAACTGTCAATTGAAAAACACGATTTGCCAGTCATTCAGGCTTACAGTGGCCGGAGGAAGTGGGAAGCAGGAAGGATGGAGGAGGCAGCGTGTGAAGTGCTGAGCCGCCATTTTGTGGCTGTCAAACGGAAGCGGCGAAGTGTGAAGCAAAAAGTAAGAACATGCCGCAATTTCCGCTTTCAATCACGTTTAGCGCAACGGAAATGTGCACGAAATTCGCTTGCACTTTGCAATTGGCCGCAGCTGGGAGTGACAGATGTATGCTATACAGATATATATATACACATACATAATTCATGTATATGTGTTTCTGGCTCAATTATCATAGAGCGAAAGGCTGCCTGCCACAGAGCGGAGCCTCCGAGGTGCAGGCAATCAATTAATATTTTCGATATTATGACGGCCTGTCAAAATGAGTGTGTGTGTGTGTGTGTGTGCTGACCAGACCAAGTGTAGCTTATATTACACGGCAGCTAGTGATGCGAGGTGTGGAGCCTCATCAATGCCATAAATCAATACGACGCGCAAATGTCACATGTTTGACCAGTAGCGCTGCAACTTTATAGAGAGCGAAAGAGAAGCAGACAGAGAGAGAGAGAGAGAGAGAGAGAGCGAGAGGGAGAGAGCGAGAGAGAGAGAGGGAGGGCAAACAGAAGCAGCAACAGGCCACACATTACCTGCAAATTACGTCAACTGTTGCCCATAGCACAAACCACTTGAATGACTCGCTCTCACCCACTCCCACTCCCTCTCTCTCCCTCTGCCGTCCTCTTGCTCTGTCGCTCTCCGTATCTGGCTCACTCTCCCACTCCCAGCAGGCAACGTGACCAAGTGAAATGTCAGGGCACTTTTAAGAGTTCATTTGGAATGTAGCAAATTGTATAAACTACCAAACAGGACAAACAGGACGAGCAGCCAGACAGGATGAAGAGGGACAGACGGGCAGAAGGACAGACACTGACACAGACAGCGTAGCGCACATTTATTGGTGGGCGGGGCCAATTCACACACAATACCAACAGGTTGTCTTCGCTGTTGTTGTTGTTGTTGTTGTTGTTATTTGAGTAATTGAGACTAAAATGCATTGGCCTTCAACCCAGCTCGCATGGAAAACTTTTATTTGTCTACAGCTGAGGATTTATTATGCTCAAATCATTGGCGCTGACAGCTGAGTGTACAATAGCGTGTTGTACAACACTGGCAAATCCTTTGTGGAATGCGGCTTAATCCATTGACAGCAATTCCTGCTCGAAAATAACTCAGTTGCCCGAGCTTCAGTCGGGTAAAGGCCAAGGCTGATGAATTGAAAATGAACTATAAAGCTAGAAAGTATTAGACTAATCTCATTAGAATAGTTAAAAGTCTCTGAGAATCTGCCGAAAATGAAATTGATGCTGGCTAAGTATTTATTTACTTAGACTTAGAAAACACTAGGCGAGAGTAACCGACTAGAAGATACACCCCATATCGCAACCAATGTCTGCATATCTCGCAATTATCTATGCACAAATCAAACCTGAGTCGCACCTCCTCGACAAGATGGAACGCCGCTACCAATGCCACTTCTATGCCTATGCCTATCTGTCTGTCCCTAGTTGCAGGGACGTAAGAGATATGCTGTTAATCTGAAATTTAATTGTGGCCGTCATTAATTACAATGCAACAGCGAGAACGTGATCTGAGAGTGCTGCTGGAGCTTTTATTGATAGACAGAGAGATGAATCGGCAGACGTAAGGATGGACAGACAGAGAAATGCACAGATGAGCTAACGGAACGACTAGCGGACGTACAGGTATACTTTGCTAGAAGTAGTGTCCGCCACGCCTTCTAGACTCGACTCGTATATGTAGATAGTATAATATAGACTATATTTTCGAGTGTTTCGAGCACGCTAAATAACCTGTTAGCTTATGACTAGCGGCTCGGGGTGGCAACTCTGGCGCAAAAGCTTTTACACTACAGGTGTCTGTGGGCCAACGAACAGCAGAGAGCAGAGGCAGAGCAGCAGCAGCAGCAACAGCAGCAACAGGAGCAGCCATGGTGAGTTGAGCACAGAGCGCGCTCTCTCAGTGAGACACAAACGCCCACACATACACACACACACACACACATACACAGTCAGACAGGAAATATCCTTGAGAAGACAAGCAAACACCCTCGGCCAAGCGAAGGCAAATTGTGCGAGGACTTTGGCTGCTGTCGCTGCTGTTGTTGTTGCTGTTGCTGCTGCTGCTGCTGCTGCTGTTGTTGTCGACCAAATCAAATCAAACTGATAACAAATAGCAACAACAACTGGCTGACAGGATGCGTGAGAGAGCTTCACTCGTTCGCTCGCTCGCTCGCTCGCTCGTGCGTCCTTTCGTTCGCTCGTGTGGCGCACGAAGCATCGCCTGCACAACATATTCGAACTTTAAAGGACTCCTGGCAACTGTTGGCGGAACAGTTCGTGGCGGAGTTGCGAGTGCGTTGGTTGTGCGACCTGAAGAAAATCGAGGCGAAACCAAGTCATATAGAGAAACCTGTGCGTGTGCGTGAGTGTGTGTGTGTGTGTGTCAGTGTGGGTGGCTGCCTCTATATGTACATATATGTAAGACTGTGTGTGTGTGTGGTTGTTGTTGTAATGAAAAGCGAAAGTTCTGCGGGCGGCGTCAAATTTTGTGTGGCAAATTTAATTAACAATAAGTCGCCAAAGTGCAGACGCAGAAATTCCAGTTCGTATCCCCCATTTGGGCTACTATTGTAGCTCCCACTATTTGTTTTTCGGGAACAGTTGGAAATGCGTTTTGGTTTTGGCTCTGTTGAATAACCAGCGCAGAGATGCGCAAATGGCGCCGCGTGGGCGTCTGCCTTCAAACAAGAAACATGAAGATAAAAATGGTAGCAGCAGCAGCTATGTGTGTGCCCCGCCCCCTGCTCAGCTATAGATATATCTGAGATTTCTACTTACAGGTTGTTCTTTTTGCTTTTCGTGACCTTGCGGAAAAGTAATAAAACTTTTGCTCCAAGAATGTGTTTTGCATAGTCGAGGCGAGGTAGGGATAGAGATAGAGGTGGAGATAGAGGCTGAGCTCGAAGTATACGACGAACACATTTGGAAGAAAAAACATGACTTGATTGGCTTGTTCAAGTTTGCTGTAGCTAAAAGCTATCAGCGACAGAAGTGTAAACATTTTGTTCCATGCACTTGCGTTCAATAGCAAAATGAAAACTAAATTTTACTGCAGCGAGAAGCGCTGTCAGAAGAGATAAGCTATGCGCGCTCTGAAGAGGCAACTGTCAAAAGCAGGCGAACAAAGAGCTAGTCTGAATAGAGCTCAGAGCTCCCACTTTGTATCCAATAATCCTGAAAGAAAGAAGCAAAACCCAAAACTATTTAGCAGCTAAACTTCTTAGCTGCCTGTCAACAAATAGAAAACTCGGTGAAAGCCAAGCCAGCGACAAAGAAACCTAGAGTCTCTGACGCTTCTCTCTTCATGTTCAATGAACAGAAGGAAGAAGCTAAACGAAAGTTTAAGTGAAGGACAAAAAAAGAAATTGTGGTAAAATTTGTGAGAGATAAACAAGAAATTAGTAAGTTAGAGTAAACTGCAAAAGGATATTCCGCTTCTCTCTTCAATTTCATTCAATACAAAAAATAGCTAGAAAATTAGAAGAACAAGTCGAGAAAGCAAAGCAATTTGTCTTTTTTTATAGACAGAAAAGACACAAGAGAGAAGCACGACTGGAAGCTACTGATAAGCTTCAAAAGGGAGAAGCTTAGCAAAATAATAATTATGAAAGTTTTTTGAAGGATAGTCAGAAAAATATTCCTGCATGCCAAAGGTAGATAAGGCTTGACGATGCTCGCCCGCATTATAAGAGAGAAGCAGCAGAAAGAAGCAACGTCGCATTGAATAGCCTCTGCTCTAAATTACCTACAAATTGGCACATAGAAATATTAATTTTCCGTCTCAAATTCTATTCATAGACTCAAACCTTTTCTTCGCTTCTCTCTGCACCAACTTTTTAATGGCTTTTGCATAACAACAGTTCGAAGGGTCGTCGAGACGCGGCTCTATCACAGTTCCACTTCCACTTTCTGTGCCAGTTCCGTTTTCATTTTCATTTCCACTTCTCGCGCCCAACTTCCATTAAGTAAATTCTTATTTCCTGTTTGAGCTGCGCATTTAAGGAGCATGTCAACCCGAAGTTGTATTTATTTTTCCATTTCTTTCGGTCACGTCTCTCCTACTTTTTCGCTCTGGACTGTGGGCAATTTGTTGGGGAATTAAATTTGCTGCGTATGCCCCGCCATAAAATATTGTAATTAACTTTGGCCCGCAGGCCTGGGGGTCGCCTAGGCGTTAATGAGGCAACAGGTTTTTCGGGATTTCGCGAAACGCTTCAATTAACCAACACTAACAGCTCTGCAGCTAATAAATATTCATAAAGTGTGCGAATGTGTCGAAGCCATCGACTGACAACTGAGCCACAACTTTCGCCGGGGCCACAAAGTTTCCATTTCATTCCTTGAGCTAGAGCTGATGGAAATTCTGGCATCGAGCACAAGAGCTGAAGACCAAACTAACATGTGACATTTCGGCAGCGAGTCAAAACTTTATCCGCTCTAAAGTTGGCTGCATCAAAGGACTCAGCTGACATGCCGCCGACACGAACGGAAAATGGGGAAGGAGCCTGAGCCAGTTCTTTCAGCTTAAATTCGAGCATCCCTCAAGCTGCTTTTAGCGGCAGCTTAAATGCTTTGCCAGCTATTTATAAGACAGCTTATGGCCCAAGCCGAGGTGTGCTCAGAAAGTATCTCGATTTCGTTGATACTCCACTGCCTCAACTATGTTTGGCTCCTTTTAGATATTTGACTATACCAAGGGACATCCCTAGACCTGGTAACTGATGAGATGAAATCACAGAATTCGCATTACTTTTTGAACTCACCGTGCATGTCCGTCCTACCTCATGTATTGTGAAATTGTGAAAGCCAATCATAAACTACATAAATGCTACAAATTCAATAAACAAACAAGCGACAAATGAACTTAACACACACATTGAGAGCGAGAGAGAGGGAGAGAGTAAGAGTGAGTGAGAGAACGAGAGGCAGCATCTGTGTTTTGGCTTGCGAAATTTAAATATCTTCACATATCATCAATAGAATTGAATTATAAAAGAAAGTAAAAACAAAATCTAAAAAAGACAAATTTTAATAAAAACAAAAGAGACAGAGAGTGAGAGTAAGAGTGAGAGTGAGAGAGATAGAGAAGAAATTGAATTGAATTGAAGTGAAACGACAAAAGCAATACAAGTGCGTGGGCCTCATGTCTGAGAGCCTGAAACACAATACGTAAAATACAGATTTAAGTACGTGAAAGCCTGCCACAGACAGCGCGCGCACACATACATACAAACAACAACARCTTAAAATAATATCAAAAATAAAAGCCACAAAAACAAGAGGCAAAAGAGGAGGAGCTAGCAGTTGAAGCAGAGGCAGAGGCAAAGGCAGAGGCAGAGGCAGGAGAGCAGCAACAACAGCCAAGTGGTTGACTCTGATGAGGACAAAGCGTTAACATGATTTGATTTTTTATGAAAGAGAGGTAAGACCTATAAAAGACAACACATACATAGCATACAGTCATATGTAAATTGAGAAATATGTAAATATATGTATTTAGCGGACAAATGCGGATTAAGTGCGCAGTGATTATCAATTGATAAGAACTACGTACTCACAGCTCATGACTCAAACAAAGAAAAGTGTGACTCTTTGGTAAGATAAGATAACAATAAGAAAAGAATATAATGACTGCAATTGTAGAATGTACTCGATAAGCTGATAAGATAACTCAAGTTAGCAATCAAAACGATAACTTAACTGTATTTATTTCGCATTGAATTACGATTAAAATTTATATAAATAGCATTAAATGATAAAGAAATAATGGTTGGACATTGATAAACAGCGAATACACAGGTCATACTTTGTGAATGAAAGTGAATTGAATGAGATATAAATATTATGAATGATATACATTATGAGGGAATCAAGTGTTTGAAGTATTCGAATAGACATCTTATCGCTATTCCTTCATTTGGGCGAGAAGAGAGCTACTAGCTACTATTGGGTCTAAATGACATCAACAATTATATTTGTTTATGCAAAAATCTATTCAAAAACCAACTAAAACGAATGAACTTTTAATCTAAGAAAATCTGCGGATGTGGGGCAGTTTTATTGGCTGTAAATTAAAGGTGTAATGACAGGTATATAACGGCTTTCTATACGTTTCCTATCTTCCTTTAAAAATCTTAATTGACATTCACTGACGTAAGCAAGTTACATTTAAATTTAACCAAAGCAAAACTTGGCAACTCTATGGCTCTTCCATGACTATGACCTTCGCATCTTGAGGGGCTGGGAAGGGGCGTTACGCACTAAAGCTTAGCCATATTTTGAGGACACTTTTGGGGCTCGTTTAGCTCGAGTCCAGCTCATAGCGAGAGGCTGTTTGTGTTAGATGCTTCGAGTTGAGACTCAAATCGATAGCCAATAGCAGCTCACACTAAGTAAAGAGGAATCAGCTCATCCAACAGCTCTATTGGGACATGGGAAAGCGATGCCTCTAGAGAAAAAGAAAGAGAGCTGGAGAGAGGGGAATTGCACTCCGTGATAGTTACACAACCCTTGAAGCTTAACGTTCCTCAAACTTTAAATCCATTTTGCGTGAAGCTGTGTCACTCTATCTCTCTCTCTCTCTCCCTCTCTGTCTCTATCTCTCCATCTTATGGGACATCACTTGAAGTTCACTTTATTTGCACTCGCCTTAAAGCCATCGAAATTGATAAGCAGCGCATGCCAGAGCGTATTATATTTATCAGAAGGCGTTCATTTGTATTAGATATACATATACATCTGTGTCTGTGTGTGCCTGTGGGTGAGTGTTTGATTGTGTGTATGTGTGTGTGTGTGTGTGCGGCATTATTGTACATAATTGAATGCGCTAAATTATTTACTCAGTGACTTGTAAAGCAGGCCGGAGCTACACATTTTCTTCTGCCTCTCCGTCTGCTTCTCGGGCTACGTCTTCGTCTTCTTCTTCTCAATTTTCTGCAGACCCTTTTAGGGATCTCCGCATCAGCCAGACGACGTTTGACAAGGGATAGGGCAGGGCTTAAAGCTCCCATTTGCTTAATAAAATTAAATGGCTTTAAGGCCAATTCTGAGGCGAGTCGCTGCGCTGGAAAATATGCTACGTTTTTATTTGTTGTTTTGTTTCTACTCGGCTCTGCCTTGGTCTGCTCTGCTCTGCTCTGCTCTGCTCTGCTCTGCTCTGCTCTGCTCTGCTCTGCTCTGCTCTTGAGCCACCGTCACGTAGCTGTACTTGATGGGCTTTGCCCATTTTGTTTATGCATATTTGCTAGCATATCGATGCCGACTGACTGTGCCCGTGTTCATTCACCTTTACACTCAAGAGCAAGCAGTCATCCACCTGAAACAGCAACAACTACAACAACGACAACTACAACAACAACAACAACAACAACAACAACAGCAGCAGTGGCAACAATAGATTCAAATGCTTTTCATGCCCATTAAAAAGGGGAGTTCAGAGTATATTGATTTTGTAAAACTGCATACAATAGGCAGACGGAGGCGTGGCATCCACAAAGGATATATATTCACATAGGATATATAGTATTGATTAGAATGCAGAGGTGGCTCGATTGAGTCATGGCCGTCTGTCCGTCTGTTCAGCCCTCCATCTGTGCGTCCGTACGTCTAGACGAGCAGCTAGGGCCTTGAGATACTAAATGTTTTTCTTAATACGCAGCATGAGCTCATTATCTTTTTCGATAACTCATTCCATCTCCCTAGATAATCGATAATTTGATTTAGCTAAGCGCGCTAGATGCCTGTGATAATATCTTATACCTGGTATTTTCCCTTGAGACAATATTGAACAATAATTTGTTGCAATCATTTCATAGAAAAATCCTGGAATATGAAGCGCATTGCTCAGGGTATCTGCTAGTCGAGCACTCCCCTCCCAGCACGCTTCCACTTGTTATTGCTGCCTTCACTTCGCTCAGCTAGAGAGTTTGGCGACCCTCGCAGCCGTAATCCTGGCAGTTGAAAGGTTTGCACATTTATGCTAATGTGCGGCATAATCAATGTGGCATGCCGCATGAAATATTGAAATACGCATCTGCAGAGATACACTCGAATATATGCAGAGATATATCCGCCCATTTCTAGCTGGCTCTGGCTGCTCTCAGCAACAGCAACAGCAGCAGCAGCAGAAATGTGTAATTTATTTTTTAATATGTAAACAAAACAACATTGTTTACAGTTCTTGGCGATTCAGAAATTGCTGCGACCACACGAATATTGTTGGCAGCCAAATCTGCATAAACTAATTTCGCTTTAATTAAATTAAGCACATAAATTAGAAATGCCAAACCAAATTAAATCGGGGCCCAGGCCCAATTGAGCTGAATAATTTAACTAATTTATCGCACTGTCCTGGGGCATTAGACCTGATTTTAATTCACTCTTACGATATACGAAACAAACTGTTTGGGCTCTGCTCATTCGATTATAAATAAAGCTGTTAGCTAACGATGGACAATGCCACTAAATTGGTCCGCTCTCGATTAGCCTGAATATCGTTAAGCAATTCACAATATATGTATATA